TAATCTGCTGTCAGTGAACCCTCTCAGAAGCAGAAATGCTTTTTTTGTCATTATGCTTTAATCTGGATATTTTCCACTGACCTGTCTTCCAGTTTGTTACTTTTATTTCACTTTTTTTTTTTTTTATCAGCTCTAGGATTTCCCTTTGATATTTAAAAAAAATAGATTCCAGTTGTCTGGTGAAATTCTTCACCTTATTTTCTTGAATATGTTTATAATTATTTAAAGTGTGATTTCGCTAACTACAATGTCTGCTCCTGTTTTTATGTTTTGGTTTCAGTCATTTTTTCCTATTTGTCGGTATGCTTGGTAAATTTTGATTGAATGCTGAACATCATGTAGTTAAAAATTGGAGGAGATTTGAGTTGTGTTATCTTTCTGCAGAGAGAATTTAATTTTCTTTGAGCAAGCAAATAGAATATGACTTCAACCTTGATATAGTTGAGGGTGATCTCTTTCTCGTTTACTGTTAATTCCAGGTTTCAGCCTCCCTGAGGTTTCAACTGCAAGTCTTGGTTGTTTACCACCCTGTTTCGGTGGGCTGTGAACTTTAATTTTTGTCTCTTTTTTTTTTTTTTTTTTTTTGAGACAGAGTCTCACTCTTTTTGCCTGGGCTAGAGTGCTGTGGCGTCAGCCTAGCTCACAGCAGCCTCAAATTCCTGGGCTCAAGCGATCCTTCTGCCTCAGCCTCCCGAGTAGCTGGGACTACAGGCATGCGCCACCATGCCTGGCTGATTTTTTATATATATTTTTAGTTGTCCAATTAATTTCTTTCTATTTTTAGTAGAGATGGGGTCTCGCTCTTGCTCAGGCTGGTCTCGAACTCCTGAGCTCAAACAATCTGCCCGCCTCGGCCTCCCAGAGTGCTAGGATTACAGGCGTGAGCCACCGCGCCCGGCCAGATTTTTGTCTCTTTTGCACTGTAAGACCTGCTGAAATCTCTCCTTCGCTCTTTAGTTTCCTAGCTGCTGCTTTCAGCTTGATTTCTTGTGGACAGATACCTAAAGGGGAAAAGTACTAATAATTCATCACAATTTATTCCCTTCTCTGAGATCTAGATCCTTCAAGTCCTGGCTGCCTGGGTTGTTTTTAGATCTTGTATTAGTTTCCTAGGGCTGCTGTAACAAATTGCCACAACTTCGTGGCTTAAGAGAACAGAAATTTATTCCCTTACAACTCAGCAGACAAGTCCAAAATCAAGGTGTTGGCAAGGCTGGGCTCCCTCTGAAAATTCTAGAAAAGAATTTTTCCATGTCTTCCCAGCTTCTGGTGGTGACTGGCAATCCATGGTGTTTCTTGGTTTGTAGCTGTATTACTCTAATCTCAGCCTTCGTTGTCACATGACCTTCTTTCCTGAGTCTCCTCTGTGTCCAGATTTTCCTCTTTTTATAAGGATACTAGTCATTGGATTAGGGCTCAGTCGAATTCAGTATGACCTCATCTTGACTTGATTACATCTGCCAAGATTCTATTTCCAAATAAGATCACATTCAGAGATACCTGGGTTTAGGACTTGAGCATTTCATTTTGTGGGGACACAATTCAGCTTGCAACAGATGCCTTCACCTTTTTTTTTTTTGAAATTGAATGCAACTTTTATAGCTGATCTTGTTGGGATGATTTGTCTTCATACTGGCTATTCCATGGTAACCAGAATGGAAAACCTTAAAATGAGGCTTTAAAATTTAATTAAAAAATAAACAGTAAATTCATACACTTTAGAACTCAACCTGTGTAAGATCTTATACAGTGAATATTCTTCCCTCTGTCCTTTAGCTTTCTAGTTTTCTTTTTCATATGCATTCAACATTATTAGTATTGTGTTTCTTCTTTCCAGAGATGTAAAATGAAAGGTTTTAAACTAGTGGATTTCTAGTAAGTGCTCTGATTATTATTTCTAATAAATATGCTCTGATTCCAAATCTTTTTCCCTATAACCTCACTCAAATTTTATGAAAAAAGCCAGTGGAAGAGCAATACTTACTTACATAGATTTTTCTTTTAGCCAGGCATTAAATTTTTTTGTAGGCAACTATTTTTACATCAACAAAATCATATTATCATGTAATCATCAAAATATCATATTAATTACTCTGAATTTGTCTTATTTCCTATGGTTCCTATTTATTCAGTTGTAAAAGAATTGTATGCTTTGACTTACTTAATGTGCCAGTATTCAAGTAATGGAAAAATACTATTTGTTTACCAAAACCAATCAGTGACACAGGTTTAAAAAGCTTTTTCATTGTTAAAATTCATAGTAGTGTTGACCTGAATTTATTATTAGGTGGCATTCTTTTGTATAATAAACATGCCTTTTTACAGTGCTCTCTCAGAGGAGGAGAAAACTACTTTGCGTGCAGGGCTCATCACCAACTTCAATGAACCGATAAACCAGGTTAGTGAGAAAATGAATGATAATTATTTTTTACTCTTTCTCTTCTCTTCATTTTTGCTTCTTTTCCAAACTAATTTTGTTTCCTGGCACTAAAAATAAAATCTTACTTACTACGCTGATTTTATTTATGATGTTTATATACACTTTGTTGGTTTTTAAATTTCAAGATCCAGTTGTAGCTGTTAAGAATTTTGGCTAGATTTGGCTATTATTGAAAACTCAGAAGTTGTTTTAAGGTATACTTGTATACTTTTTAGTTTTTCAGTTTTTGAGCCAGTATTGAAAGCAAACCTCTATGTACAGTCATGTGCCACCTAATGACATTTTGGTCAACAATGGACTGCATGTACTGTGGTGGTCCCATGGGATTTTAAAGGAGCTGAAAAATTCCTATTGCCTAGTGATACCATAGCTGTTCTAAAGTTGTCGTGCAACACATTACTTGATAATTTGTGGTGATGCTAGTGTAAACAAGTCTACTGTGCTGCCAGTCATATAGAAGTGTAGCACATATAATTACTGTATACTCTATGATGTTCGTACAACAATGGAATTGCCTAATGACACATTTTTCAGAACATTACCTCTGTTGTTAAATGATACATGGCTATGTTTATAGTCTTACTGCATAGGGATTAATTTTGATGATTTGGATTATCTTCCCTGCCACTTTTTAAAAAAAGACCACAGGATGGCTTCAGGTTTTTGTCTATTTCCTACATCCATCACATTTTCAATATTCTTACTACTCTGTGGCAGATACATAGTAGATTATACAGTTTTATTTTTTCTTTCTCTTATAGTGAAGTTTTTCTTCTCCAAATAAAGTAAGTTTTCCTTATGGGTATAAACATTCTTAAATTTTTCCAAGATAATTTATTATACTTGATTCTTTTAACTCACATATTAAAGTACACTGTATTTGACAGTATTTCTGATGCAGTTTTATCTTGACCTGTTTAAATGATCTTGGTTCTCTGCCTTGCATTTCCTAGACAGAGGAGATGAGGGATAATGGAAAGAAGGGCGTTAATTCTCACTGGGGCAGGAGGTGGTTGGGAAGGGTTGGGTTGAGAGGTAAACCAATGCCTAGCTGTTATGTCAACTAACATTTGGGAAACACTGACTTGTACAAATATCATTATTTAAATACCTAATATTTGATGTTCATTTCTACTCTTCAGTCAGTAGTTCTTAAACTTAGTGGTTGCAGGACTTCCTTATACTGCTAAAATTAAAGACTTCAAAGGGTTATATCTGTTCATATTTACTGTTTTAGAAATTAAAGCTGAGAAATTAAAAAATATTAGTTATTTAAAAAATAATGAAACCATACTTGTTGACATAAATGGCATTTTAAAAATGAGCAATAAATTAGTGAGAAGGATGGCATTGTTTTGCATTTTTGCATCTCTCTTTAGCATGCGGCTATTTAAAAGAAGACATCTAGATTTTCATATCTGCTTGTTTACTCTGTTGTGATATACTATTTTGGTAGAATTTAGATGAAGAAAACCTAGTTTGAAACTGACATGTAATTGGGAAAGGGAGGACCTCATAGACCCCCAGAAGGGTTCTAGGCCTCCCAGGGGTCCATGAACCACACTTTGGAAAACACTGTCTTAAGCAGTCATTTGGTGAAATTTTGATTATTTTTGTTAAATGAATAATTAACCACAAAGGTAATTTTTGACTATGAATGCATTCCTTATCCATTGACTTGATTTCATGTGTTTATTTCTGATAATTTTTTCTTTCTAGATTGCAACTCAAATTGCAGTGCTGATCGCAAAAGTTGCTAGATTGGATTGTCCCAGACAGTGGCCCGAACTGATTCCCACTCTTATAGAGTCTGTTAAAGTCCAGGATGATCTTCGACAGCACAGAGCGTTACTTACCTTCTATCATGTTACCAAGACACTGGCATCTAAACGACTCGCTGCTGATAGAAAATTATTTTATGATGTAAGTGATTTAACATAGTAAAATTTGATTATAAAAATTGTGCTATTTGTATAAAGATAACTACAGTTTTACTTCTGTTAATATTTTATTGAAAGATTATGAATTCTTTTTAATTTTACACTGGGCAGTGATATGAATGGAAAGATCACTTAGTTGCCAATGAGGAAGATTGGTTGGTAGGGCACAGTCTGAAGGCAAGGGGATCAGTTTGAGCCCATTAGAGTAGTTCGGATAAGATGATAAATCTCCTAAATGAAACAGTGGTAAAGGGAACAATAAAGTGGGTATAGAGTTGACATTTAGGAAGTAGAGTTTACATATCTAGGTAATTGATGCATGTAGGACAGATGTAGGAAGAAGTCGTCTAACAAAACTGGGAGGTGATAGCCCTTTATCAATTGTTCTTGCACCATTTGTTGAAAAGATATTTCTTTCTCCATTTGCTTGCTTTGGTGCTTTGTATTTAACTATGTTTGACCTTTCAAAATAGTCATTTTCATATTATTCAACCTAATATTTTGGACTGCACCATGTAGTAGTACTAGTGAATCTTGAAGTATTTTTAATAGTGTTCTTGCTTACCTTTGGTATGTGTAGAGAAATTAAAGGTGTATAATTTGAAATCTTATATGATCAAACTCAAGAAAACTATTTCAGGTGTGTTCTGAACCATGTTGCTCTGCAGAAAAAATAGACTAACGTAGTGTTTGTATAAAGATTTTTTTTTGTCTTTCTTTTCTTTAGGCAAATGCACCATATTTATTGCTCTTGCTTTTCCCCAATGAGCAGGCTTTTCTCTGGGAGCTTCCAGAGTTCCTTGTGCTTATAAATTTAGCATGTGGTCTTAAACAGTCATTCTCAGGCCTCCTTTCTTCTGACTTCTACTCTGCTCTCTACTTCACCTTCCATGATTAGAGATGCTTCATTCTTAAAGAAGGAGATAGCTTAGTCCTATGTGGAAAGGAATCAGTGAAGAATATTCAGCCTGTAGAAGAGAGAGGATCTAATGGAGGGAGACAAGTGAAGAGAGAGTTCTAGGAAAAGAGAAAGTTCTAGAAGAAAATACGTGTCCTGGTTTGATTCATTTTACATTGCCTTTATCTCTCCATCAAGAGTTGGCCAACTTTTTGTCTCTGAAGAGTCTGTTTTGTCCAGGATTCTCACTAATGTGTCTCATTTTTGAAAATGGACTAGGGAAGGGGGATAGGGAAGAGCTGTTTTCCATGTTAAAGACATTGGTTTTCAGTCTGTCACAGATTGAGAGGTTTCTGAGCCACACCTTTGTAATCCTCACTTTGAGCATATGGCTTGGCAGTCTGCATTTTTATTAATAGCATTTGTTGTCCCAGTATTAGTGATGAATTATGTGACTTTGATTTAAAGTTTTTCTGGTGCTAACTTTTCTTCAGGGAAAATTATGAGGACAGTGGTCTTGAGGCTAAAAAAGTTTAAGACTATTTGATGCTTAAAGAAATAAAACTTACTGTAATGGTTTGCTTTTGATACTTCAAGGAGTTGAGGCTGTGTGCTTTTCTGTTAAAGTCACTAAGCACTCAGTTGGTGGCACTGTTTCCTTTGGTTTAGAATGAAAATTTAACTACTTGGGGTTTTCATGAACCAGTCTCTAAAATGTTTCATTAAATAGTTTATTTTCAATATGTCTCACTGAATATTCCTTTCCCTCTCCACATTTTTTAGAAGAAAATGTAGAAAAAATATTTTTATTTTTCCTATTTATTTGCTTCATTACTTTCTCTGTTCCAGAGGAGGCTTCTATAAGCCTTTATCAGTTGATGTTTTCTGGAACAGATAGAAGGTTTTATGCAGAGCTCGTGGATATACGATAGTTAACAGTGGTTTCTTCCTGTGGTACTTTCCTTTTTATTCTGGTGGTTTCTTCCTTCTTTACCTGTTTCCCTTTTTTTTTTTTGCTGTCGGGCTGGAAGGTGTTAAAAAAAAGTTACACTTATTAAAGATGGAAAGACAGACTTTATTCATGGGGGAACTACTACAATGGGGTTTTTGCAGTAGGGGAGAGAGATTGGGCTCAACTCTGAATACAAGGAAAAGTGGGAATATATAGCCAAGAAGCAGGGTTACAAAAAGAATAGGGGGGATGTTTGTGGATTGAAAATTACTAAGAGGAAATATCAGAGGTGAGGGGGTTTCTGGCTAAACTGACTTGACAGGATTCTTGTTGAAGGCCACCTGATTAGATAATAAGGGAATCAGATGTTGAGGACTGGGGATTCTGGCTAAACCAACTTAGTAAAATTCTTGCTAAAATTGAGTGATACGAAGATAGACATTTTAGAAGTCCAAAAGTTGAAGTCTATTTAGGAAGAGGATTCAGAAGAGCCTGACTAAAGTTTGGTCAAGGGGAGGATCTTTGTTAAAAGATAGAGCTGTTTCTTCTTCTTCATTCCAATTATCTCTATTCCTGCAGAGGCCTTTTTATAGTCTAGCTAAAAAGGATCTTGAATTGGAGCTTTAATAGATTGCTTATATCCTTAACTAGGTGCTTAGCTCCAGACCTGGAGTATGAAGCATAGGATATTAATTAAAAAAAAAAAAAAAAAAAAAACTTTTTAGAGATGGGGTTTTGCCATGTTGCCCAGGCTTGTCTCAAACTCCTGGCCTCAAGCTACTCTCTGGCCTTGGCCTCCCAAAGTGCTAGGATTACAGGTGTGAGCTACTGCACCTGGCCCAAATGTTTCTTAACCTAAATGAGTGGGACCAGAAGTGTTTCACATTTTTTTGGATTTTGGAATATTTGCATTATTCTTAGGTTGAACATCCCAAATTCAAAAATCTGAAATTTGAAATGCTCCAATAAACACTTCTTTGAGCAGTGCTCAAAAAGTTTCAGATTTTGAAGCATTTTGAATTTTCTTATGTGGGTTGCTCAATCTGTAGTTCTTTCATACTAAGTACTACTTTTCAGGGCCAGAAGGAGGGAAGAATTAATGGATCAAGATCTAACTTTGCCATTAATATCTATAAACCTCATTACATTGTTTATTTTTGTGAGAAGTAGAGATGAAAATTTCAAACACAGATGAAAGTTGCTTAGGGTGGAATGGAGTGGAATCTTTGATTACCTGAATTACTGCACTTTCTCACACATTTGATTTTAAAGTCAAATTATAAGTGGAGAAGATGATGATTTTATGGAGCAAAATAGAATTTTATTTCAATGACTTTGATTCCATCATGATGAAATACTTCCTTTCATCCAATCTTATGACCATAAGAATCTTTGGTACAGTACTCAGAGATGTTCTTTGATATTTTTTGTTCTTCTGGGATGAGTGGAGAAGATTTTCTATTTATTATGTATACTATAATTGGCACTGTGTGTATGCAGGTGGTAGAATTCTATAAAGGAATGTTCTCCTGGTAACAGAAATAGTACCTGAAAAAATTATAACGGTTAAAACAGTTTTGCCCATTTGCCACCATCATTATAAAATACTTTAAAAATAAATGGGACATGATTTCAAAATACTATGCTCATGTGTAGGGTAGTAAGTTCTCCCTTAATGTTTTCCTTCTTGAGCCTGTGTTATGTTCCATTTGGTCAACTCTTTTTTTCAAGCTTAATCTTATTTTTAATTGAGGAACTAGGGAATGATTACCATCACCATCTTTTTTTTTTTTTTTCTTTTTTTAAGTCTGGTGTGCAGTGGTAGTGGAGGGTATTGAGAATTAGATAAAAGGTTCAATGGCTCTTATGACTAGTGAATGGGACCAGTTCCAAATTACATATAAATATTACTTACATATATGTATATATATCTGAGAAAAACATTCAGTTTATATTAGCTATATCTTGCATGGGTACTCTATGCAAATAATAGAACAAAAAGGATACATTTTTCTGTTGAATGGTGTACAATAGAGGTGGTACTTCCTGAAGAATTTGTTACAGGAGATGCTAATTCAAACAACTCATTACATTCATATTTATAATAGTATTCACCTGGGGGAGTGTGTGGAAATATTTCATATTTTCGTAGTCATGAAAAGAAAATTTTACCATTATCAAATTATTATATTAAGCTTTTGGAGAACAGGATTTACTGTATTGATACTGAACATATGGGATAGTATCTACTTAAAAATAGTTTACATTTTGACATCAGAGAGTTTAAATAGAACTTAATTATACAAATAATGCTTATCTCTTTTATTAAATTACTATGTACCTGATTGCTAGTTACTATGTCACATAGAGGCATGAGAACATAGAGAGTAATATCTCAGGTTCTGAACACTTTCCCTGGGTTCAAATCCCGTCTTTGCCTCTTATTAATCATGCTGTTTGCTCTTGGGCAAGTTACTTAATCTTTCTATGCCCACTCAATTTTCTTATTGTAAAAGAGGAATGATAATATCTGCTTTTCAGATTGTGATGATTAAATACATTGATATAGACAGTGGTCTGAGTAGTGCTTAGTGCAGAGTAGGGTTTAACAAATATCTGTTGTTATTCTGTTAATATTATATTATTTATCATATATGT